ACTGCAGTCTCGGAAGCCGAAAGGGACCCCATTCCTTTCTCCTCCCCAAACTCCCAAAGTTTCTGCAAAGTTCTCTCGGCGACCCCCCCCCACAAGCGCCCCCCTCTGGGGTCTCCTTTTTCCCTCCCCCCAGCGCCTCTGGCGGCTCCGCGCGCGGCCAGCAGGGGTCGCTGCCCCACAGCTCTGGCGCCTCGGCAAGCGCTGCCAGCGCCAGGCGAGCGGAATGGAGGGCGAGGGCGCAGCAAGAGCGCCGGGGAGAGAGACAGAGAGGCGGCGCGTGCGAAGCTACCGCCTCCCTCGCCTTGGACCGGCCAGCCAGCCTGCCTGCCTGCCTTGCCTGCCTGCCTTGCCAGCCGATCTCTTCGCATCCGCGCGCGCGGAGGCGCTGGCACCACTTCCAGCATGGCCCGCCGGCAGCTGCAGCCGCCTAGGATGGAGAGGGGTCGCCCCCGGGGCCGAGGGGCGCGGCGATGAAGGGAAGGGGCTTCTCCCCGGCGCTTGGGAGCTATTAAAGCGGGACTTAAAACTTCACTCCGGAATGACCCTGGAAGTCTGCCTGGGCGAAGCAGCGGGAAAGTCCTTTTAAACGAAAAACAACCAAAACCACACACACAACAACAAAAACAAAAGCCACAGTAAGTTTCCTTTCTTTATCATCATGGGGGGTTTGATTTGGGGAGTCTGCCTTAGGAAGTGGTTTAAAGAAAAGATAAAAAAGAAGTAGTTCCTGGGAATGGATCTAAAGGAGGAGGAGAGCTTGTGTGGACCCGGGATCCTCTCCTTCCCGCGGATTCTAAAGTTTGCTCTGTAGGTAACCTAATTATATTTTGCAAGTTAATCCCTCCATTCTCAGGCTGGCGTCATGGCGGGTTTAAGTGGAAAGGGAAGAAATAAGGATTTATTTGTTTTTTAAAGAGATCACGTCTGAAGCTGAAGTGCTGGAATCAGACTATCCTGATGGAGGTGGGGGCAAAGGGGGTTTAATAACAATAATCAAAAGAGCTGGTTTAAAACCAGAAATTAAATGAACTGCAAAGTTTGGCTTCTGGGCCCAGTGGACTAAAAAATGAAGCTGTCTGCTTTAAAAAAGAAGAGTTGAGGATTTTAGGATGGTTTTAGTGAGATGTCTGTTGGGGGAGGGAACAAGGCACCCGTTTTCCCCTTGCTGGAATGAGAATGGATGCCTCAATTACCACTGAAAACCTCATGTTTTATACGTATATTGTTCTAGCTTCCATTTTCCAAAGATCTTTCTTAATATTTATGGATCAAAAGTTTGGTGTCTGTTCACTATTTTTATTCATTTATTACACACAAACACCCCAATTTTCCTATGAAGTATATAATGAAAACTATGATTGTGCACTTATGATTACAGTCTTACCGTGTGTATGTGTGTGTTGAGGGGGGAGGTGAGTAGAGGAGAAGTAAACAGCGGTAGGAATAAAAAACACTTTCATCTTCAAAAAAGAGTGATGGGGAACCAGGAAGGAAAGTGAAAGGTGAGGAACTTATCTTTATAAAACCCAGGCAACAAGTTTGCCTTTGTCCAAAAGGTGTAAGGCAA